AATGGCCCAGGGCCAAACACTGGACGATGAAGAGAAACTGCTAGAAGGATTGAAACATAGCTTGTACCCCACCAAGTTGAGCAGTCGACAAGGAAGTTAGAATTGAATCTCAAGGGTGAGCAAAACCAAGCAAAGCCCTATTTTGCGTTTGTATACCAGTGATGCACCTTGAACTGGCAGTGAGGAATCCTCTACTCACTGCTGTTGGGTAGGTCCTTCACAGGTGTGTGTGTGTGTGTGTGTGTGTGTGTGTGTGTGTGTGTATTGAGGGGCACAGGCTATAGATGATGGCCTCTCTGGTCCTGCCCAGATGTCTTACCGCCCTAGATGGCTGCCACACACAGGCGAGTGTCTGGCCCTCATATTAAACATCTCAGATGTTCAGTTGTTTTAGAAAGTTTCAGGTACTGAATGTGGGGTAGCTGGGAACGGACACTGAGTCAGACATGAGCACTAGGCTCTAGCCTAGGGGATGAGTCACATTGAAACCCTTGTGGCCTGCAGCTGGGTGGCTGCACCAGGGCCACATCTACCCCAAACATCTTTGGTGGCCCTTGGAGGACACGGGGTGGGGGAGATCAGGGGCAGAACTGGAGACTCGGGAGGAAGGTAGCTTTCAAGGAAAGTGATACCATGATACTGTCTTTCTGCAATGTAAGGGCTTTTTTTTTAGGTTTAAAGAAACCAGAAAATTTAAAACAAGCAGCAGGGAAGTCCCTCGATATAAAAATGTCCCCAGAATTTGTTTGGAGAGGAAATAACATTTTCTTTTGATGGTGATCACTGTGCTGTCAGAAGCTTCTGGGCTACTCACTACCCACCCACCAACCCTTTTCAGTGATTTCACAGGTTAGCGCAGATTCTAGCTACTTGCAGCAAAGCCTCATCAATATTGGAGGGTTTCTAAAGACGTGTGTGGACAAACAGAACTTCTCAGGGGTTCCCAGCAGCCAAACCAACCAGTCCCTCAGCTCTCCATGTAGTCCTCGAAAGTGCTCGACAATAAAATGAACACGGAGGAGTCCCAACCAGTTCTGTGACAGCTTGGAATGTCTTAGCTTTGTTTTGGTATGGCTGAAGCATTTCCCCGTGGTTTGTCCATGCTGGGAGGTGAGCTGGGTTAGCCTGAGGCCTCTGAGGCCAACTGTGGGGACTGACGTTTACAAACACTATCACGGTTTTGAGCAGCCGGGAGGACATGCTGATTGACACCTGAGCTCACAGAGACAGCGTGGAGGGTTAGGGTTCCGTTAGGTTAGGGTTAGGTTAGCTTAAGCTAGGTTAGGGTAGATTAGGGTTAGGTTAGGTTAAGCATTAGGTTAAGCTAGGTTAGGGTAGATTCGGGTTAAGGGTAGATTAGAGTTAGGTTAGGTTAAGCTGGGTTAGGTTAGGTTCAGCTGGGTTAGGGTTAGGTTAGCTTAAGCTAGGTTGGGGTAGATTAGAGTTAGGCTAGGTTAAGCATTAGGTTAAGCTAGGTTAGGGTAGATTCGGGTTAGGTTAGGGTAGATTAGAGTTAGGTTAGGTTCAGCTGGGTTAGGTTAGGTTCAGCTGGGTTAGGGTTAGGTTAAGCTGGGTTAGGTTAGGTTCAGCTGGGTTAGGCTAGGTTCAGCTGGGTTAGGGTTAGGTTCAGCTGGGTTAGGGTTAGGTTCAGCTGGGTTAGGGTTAGGTTCAGCTGGGTTAGGATTAGGTTAGCTTAAGCTAGGTTGGGGTAGATTAGAGTTAGGTTAGGTTCAGCTGCGTTAGGATTAGGTTAGCTTAAGCTAGGTTAGGGTTAGGTACTAAGAATGAGCTGTAAGCACTTGGCCACTATTCGGTGGCAGTGAGAACGAGGAGGTTTTGGTGGTTGCCCGAGATTAAGATTCTTCTGTTAGGAAACTAAGGCAGGCATTAGCCTAGTATTTGCTCTGATTAGCATGAGATGCAATTTTAGTTTTGATTTGCAGTTTTCCTGGATGAGGATGTTAAAACAACTACGCACGCTTACTGACCACTGGGTTTTGATCTGTTCCATGTTCAATTGGCAGGGGCTTCTGGTGTCCAGAGGCCAGGAAACACCAGATTCCCTGCAACTGGGGTCACATACAGCTGTGAGCTACCTCCTGGGAATTGAACTGGGGGACCTCTGGAAGAGCAGTCAGTGCTTTTAACCACTGAGTCATCTCTCTAGCCTCTCTCCTGTGTTTTTATAACAAATAAAGGGCACCTGTGGATGAAGTAGCTTATATAGCACAGTGACACTAAGTTTTGGTGTCTAAGCACCAGACACAGGGACACCAAGGTGCTTTGAGGAGGTCAACATGCCCAAAGGTGTACACACACACACACACACACACACACACACACACACACACACGCACGCACGCACGCAGCACTGTTTCTACGGAATGATGGAGGAGTGTCACTCATTTCAGATTCTTCCCCCAATTCCTGGCTCCCGAGTTGCAGGACTGCAGCTGTTTGACTCATTGGATCTTACTCTTCGTTATCTGTGTAGAGGTTAGAAATGAAGATGTGGGTTCCTGTTCACCACGGAGTAGTTTCCTCTGTCCCAGCAACGTTCGCTCCCTTGTTAGCTAGCTAGGGGAAGGAAGCACCATGGCTTATTTCTCTGACACACCCCATTTTTAGGAGCACATGTTTTTATTCTGGAAAATTAAGATACTGGAGAATATTGTGGAAGTGTTAATTGTATTCTGAGGAATAAGTATCTTACAAAAAAGTACAGCTCATGCCAATGCCTGAGTCTCTTCAGGTACATAATTATGCATGAAGATTGTTTTTAGCTATCAACTTTTTTAATGCCCTCAGCTGAATAAATAAAATGAGCAAAACCTAGAGAAAGGTCCAGGATCACAATCCACCCTATAGACTCAAGAGTATTCTAGCCACACATTCATCCGCTCACTGGAGATGCTGTAAAGAATAATGAGGAACATAGGCATACATAATACCTGGGCAAAGTATAGAAACATAAACACTTCCTAACATCACCCGGAGAGGTGTTCAAATAAAGTTTAATATTAAAAACTACTTCTTGTAAGTAAATATTCAAATAATTAAACTTGAACATAGGCTAAAAGACAATAAAACTCCATGACGCATGCTCCCGAGTCCAAATTAATTTTACCAAACACAAGACAAGACACACATTTTATTGAAGAATCAGAGTCGTTTGGTGCCATGCTTTTATTCAAATAAAGGGGACCACACTGAACCAGGAGCTAGCAAGTCTGATAGCACGGGCAGCCATGTATCACCTGCAGTGCTCAGAGTGGACAGTTAGCACACTGCACACTGCCCACGGAGCCACGGCGGCCAAATAAAAACTGCAACAGTCCTCCAAACGTAAAACCGAGAAACTGTGAGGAATTAAAAACTTCAGAAGTTGTGTTGAGTAGCAGAAGTTGACTGCTTACCATGGTAAGGATTTGGCAATTTAAGTTGACTTAATTATCATGGTCACTTGACCTCCAACGATGACAACACTTGTGTTTCAGTAAGATTGACAGAATGATCTCCAAACTTTATGGAATGGTATGTTTTCATATGTATAATTTTAAAACATAATTTAAAAAGCTGCACCATAATTAAAAAAAAATCTGCAGACTAAAGAAATATATCTGTGTTCCTCTTGCATTAATAAAGTAAAATATACTGAGAGCAATGAGCTTCGTGGTGATGCTCACCGCCTACCTTCAGACACTAGGCATTCGTTCAGCCGCTGGATATGCAGTTTAAGAACAGAGACAGGTGTGGTTAGTGTCCGTTAGTTTTCCATTGTCTTGCAGCTAACTTTCCTTTATTCAATACTCAGATGACAGCAAGAAGGCCGCTTTGATAGGGAAAAAGACCATGTTTAGTAATATAAAATGCTCTTTAAATTCCTTTGTCTATTATTCACTTCATTTTGATTAGGTTTGTTCATAATTTTTAAACTAGTCTTATCCTAAGGATATATTTGTTTGACCATTTCCTTCTAATTGTAATAAAAATTGGGTGTCTGAAAGGTAAAATGTGAAATTCCCCATTTTTAATATTCATATATACATAGTATGTATACATTTAAAATATAAGAGTTACATATCCTGGTCTCTTACATGCAAGCAGTAGATCACAAATAGTTTTGAGCTACACATAACATACATTTTGCACTGGTTTTGAAAAAAAAAAATCCGTGAAAATTTTTTTTTTACAGTTTTAACAAATATACATAAATATAAGAACATAAATTACAGTAAAATATTGACAGCATTTGAGAAAATGTTGAAAACCCAGATGCACTGATACCTAAAGGCCCTATAATAATAGTAAAGTACAACTCAGAGACATCCCATTCCACTCTCCTTTTAAGTAAGTAAATACATCACATGAGACATGGGCCCTCTCTCTAAACAGCTCAATTAGAGAAATGTACATATTTTCGTCTCCATATCCCATGGAAGAAAACAAACCACTCTCTCATTTATAAACAATATGTCTCTCCCCCCGCCCCACCCCCTCCCGTCCCCCCCCCTCCGCCTACAGTTGTCACACTGAAACATAACAGGGGTCACAAAATCAACCATTCAAGTCTTTTCCTGAGAATGAGGGTCCCCCCAACCCACCCTCTGGTGTAGTGGAGCTTTTCAAGTGTGTCCTAATCTAAGCTGTCCCACTGGAAAGGGATTCAAAAGAAGGAAAAACCCACCACAACTAAAAGAACACGAAGCTACTTTCAAATCAAAATGTAGCCCTTTGTGTATGTTTAAAAACCCTAGATACAGCTCCTATATCGGTTACAAGTATGAAGGCCTCCTGAGAAGTGCCCGGGAGGCCTCACATTTTCATACTGAAAGGTGACACTCACTTCTGCCAGCTTATAAAGTGACGCACTTTAAAAGAAAGTGGTTTGTTGCTGTTGCTGTTATTGTTGTTAAAAGTACAATCTAAATTGTTCTGAGTTGGCCAGAATTGGTAAAAAAAAAAAAAAAAAAAAAAAAAAACGGCACTTATTTATTTAATCAGCAGCTTCTTACAAGACACTGGTAAGGTGTGTGTGGTCTGCAGGGAGCCCAGGAGCAGCTCTTTACACCTCCTTATGTAACACAAAAATGTTAATACTTGTGTGAATAATAAATAGAGAAGGTAATTACTTAGGAATGCCATGAAAACATGACGGCTATTGTAAAACATAACACTAGTGTTTCTCTTAACATCGTAAGAAAGGTGCAAGTTTACTTCTCAGAGTCAACTTCCTACTTCCATGATGCCCACATGAAAGAAAAACACAAAGGCAGCTTAGAATAAACACCCAGGAGAGAGAGAGGGAACAACACCAAAAACCATCTGACGATGTGCACACATAATCCGTCATCCAGCCACATTTCAAGCCTAAGTCCCACTGTGTCTGAGGGTTCAGTGCTTCAAGGTCTCGAACACCAGGCAGTCGAGCCCGGACACCCACAAACCTCTGTCTGTGATTCAAAACGCATTCCCTTCATCACTCGGCCTTATCCCTAGGAGAATCTTCTGCACTCCAAACACTGCGTACATTCCAGTTGTTCACAACAACAGGGGTAAGGTCCAGTTTTAACTGATAAAAATCTTGTTGGCAATTAGAAAGGTTTTCTATGGGCAGGAAAGATGAAGTACAAACTTACCACAAAGGTTCTGAAGCGAGCATTTCCCGCCTCCTATGCTTTAGTAGGTAAGAGCTTTTTGGGTGTGACTGGTCTTTTGGTTTGCCATAGGTGGCTATGAATGGTAATTGCATCCACACTAGCGGATAAAGTTTTAGCAGGTATGTGGCTAAACTGTTTCCTGTCAGAATTGTACTTGTATAGTCCCTCAATCATCTTTTTAGTGATAGATTTAGGGCCTATCCCAGTCAGTTTACTGATGTCTTCAGTTTCTGGGCAGTAAGTATACAAAGATCTGAACTGACAGCCTGAGTCCCGGAACAAGATTAGGAAGTTGTTGGCGTCTGATTTCTCCATTTCCTTTAGAACAGAAAAAAAAAAAAAAAAAAAAAGATAACTATAAAGCCACACCATTTTATTGAGTTTTTATATAACTGTTCATATTTCTTGGTTAAAATTTATGACATTTTTAAAATCACATTTCATGTTACTGTTTCTGGCAGTCCTAGGGACCATTTGTACACTGTGTTCTACCAAGACTGTTCAAGTCTCTACTCAGTTTAATTAAGCCTTTAGGTCTTCCAGAACATTCCACCTAATACTAATACATCATTGCAGACCCTCCACCTAATACTAAGACATCGCTGCAGACCCTCCTCAGCCCGCCAGAGCCTTCCCCGCACTGGCCCAGAAGACCCTCAAGTTCTCAAGGCCTACTGAATTTCATCTTCATGAGGACGTGCTTACCTCTAGTATCTTTTTCTTCTGACCTTCATTTACTTTCCCAGCCAAGCAGCAGTGAGCTAGAGCATTCTGGATTATGTGCTTATTGGATTTGGCACTTGGTTCCTTGTAAAGCTTTGGTCCTGTAGTGAAAACATTTACAACAGGTATAGAAAGGACATTTCCAAGACAGAAACGCTACCAAGTTTCCAGGATGTGGCTGCCCCTAGACTGGTTATACTTGCAAGAGAAAAACAAACTCTGGACTTGAAGTTTCTTATGGATCCTCTCCTTCTTTCCTTCCTTTCTTCCTTCCTTCCTTCCTTCCTTCCTTCCTTCCTTCCTTCCTTCCTTCCTTCCTTCCTTCTTTCCTTCCTTCCGAACTTGCTCTGTAGACCAGGCTGGCCTCAAACTCACAGAGGCCTGCCTCTGCCTCCAAGTGCTGGGATTAAAGGTGTGCGCCACCATGTCCAGCTCTTATGGTCTTTTTAGGGGCTACACTCCAGCCACAACATGGCTGTATTCACACAAGGACACATTTGGGGGACATTCTTGTGACTTGGTGATGCTGTCCCATGAAGGCAGTGTTGGAATAAGATACTGCTTGTAACTGTTAGTCTCTTCAGTCTTTCCAGGCTGGCGGGACTGCTGACTATTAAGATTAGGATATAAAGGGACCAAGAGTCATTTTTAGCTTAGTTTTGTTTTCTTGAGACAGTGTCTCACTCCGTAAGCCCAGACTGGCTGGAAATGACTATGCAGTCCAGGCTGGCCTCAAACTCATGGCCATCCTCTTCCCTCAACCTCACAATTACTGGGGTTACTGGTATAAGCCACCAAATTTAGCTTTAGCTTGGAGGAAGGCAGGAAAAGGTAGTCTTGGGAGATAGCTCAGTAAGTACTTGTCTTGCAAGCACAAGGGTGTGAGTTCAACCCCCAGAACCCACATTCTAGTGAGGTAGAGACAGGCAAATGAAAGACAACCCCCCTCACCCGCCAAGTGTCACAAAGGCACACAGCTGAGTGTGGTAATTCCAGTTCTCACAGAACAGCAGCTGGGCCCTACCTGTGCTCATTAGCGCATTAAATTAAAGGGCTCCCCTGAAATGTCCACACCAACCTGTGTATTCTGTTCCGGAAGCCACCGAAGAAGTCGTTGATGCGTTTTCCCAGTCTTTCTCACCATTTCGACTGCCGCAGCGACTTGGAGATAAGAAGCCTTCTACAGACTCTGACCTAAACAAACATGGACAGCAGATGAGGCGGTGCTAACACTGTGTTTTCTCTAGGGCACACGTCAAATGCCTCTGGGATGAACCTTTTCCGTATGAAAACTGGCAACCTGCACGCTAGAATGGTAACAGGACGACAAGACTGAGATCCTGAGAGCCAGAGAAGAGCTCTGCTGATGTGAGTCCTGTAGCTGAAGGCAGTACTGACCCTGTCTGGTCTACACGCCACAGAGAGGACAAGATACGAGGGCCCCAAAATGTGAAAGTCCAGTCAGCAAGCTACTAGTAGGATTTAGTGTAATGCCACTGTCTTCAATGGGAAGACAGATTTTATTTTTCTGTTTCCATTATTTAATCGGTCATGTTAGCAATATCTTTGCATATAATTGCTATTTGCATATAAATAGTATTAGCATTCACAGCTTATAAAAGTATTGGTGTTAATAATTCAGATTCTAAGAGAGACTGGAAAGTAAACAGACCATTTATCATAATCGCTGTATGTATTTGTGCCAGAAGAGGCACCTATGCCATGCCACACAGAAGGTCAGATGCTGCAGCAAGTGCCTCTACCCACTGAGCCATCCTATCGGCCGCGTTTCATACCATTTAACCAGGAAGTCTCACCCACGCCCCCCGAGCCAGGGTTTCCTGTGTGGCTGGCCTGGCTGGCCTAAAACTCACTCTGCAGACCAAACTGGCCGCAAACTCAAACTCTAATTTTTATCTAAATTGCCACACAACTGCAAGTGGCACGCTCTTTTCTCAGAAGCCCAGGGCTCACCTCGGTGTCCTCTTGCCTGAGTGAAGGCTCTCGGTGTCCCCTGTGTTCAGCGATGCCAAAGAGAGGCTAGAGACTAAAAAGAACATGGTGAATTCGTGACCCTGAACAAAACAGAACTGTCAACGCACAAGAAGGAAAGTCTGTTCATTAGAAAATACCAGCAGCGCCCTGAATCTAAACACATAATGTGGGGCTTGCATACAGTCACCATTTAAACTAAGAATCAAGTTTCAGGCTACAATAAAACTAACTGCTCTAAAGGTAATGTGGGAACAGGATTTTTCGAGAAGGAAACACGTATTTTGTAATATCTAATTCCTATGTACAAAACTAACTTAAAATATCTCCCAGTGTTTCTTAGTTTGGGATTTATTTTTATTTTACATGTATATGCGTTTTTTGCCCACATGTATATGTGCGTCCTGCACGAACGCCTCGTGCCCAGTGATGCCAGGAGAGGGTGTTGGGTCCCTGGAGCTGGAGTTTGGGGGTTGTGGACCATTGTGTGGGTGCTGGGACCTGAACCCTACTCCTCTGTAAGAGCAGCCAGTGCTCTTGAGCACGGAGCTGCCTCGCTATTCCCAGCCTCTCTTCCACCACACACACCAGTCAGTATTACAGATCAAGAGTTTCACCAGGCCAGGCCAGATTGCGCTAAAAAGGAGGCAAGCAAGCAAAGCAAACATCAATTCCAGTTATTTTCCTCAGAATTGAGTCTAGGATTCAGAATAACTACAGGAGTTCCTGGTTTAGTTGTGAGATGCTAAGGATAGAATCTACAGCCTCATGTCAGGCAAGGCCTTCATCTTTATCCTCCGCCCTAACTGTAAGAGTTGTATGAAATTTTCCACGGCACTACTTTAAATGAAATGGCTTAAAAACTATGCATGTTGAGTTTAAAAGATCTATTGTCTCAATTTCACGAAGTTATAGTTTTGGATTATAACTGACTATTTCTATGTTAAAGGCGGGGACTTTTGAAATCTTGACCTGATGTTGTTTAACCCAATAACAATGGTTAGGGACACAGTCAATGGGTGAGTTCCAGAATCTCACGTGCAATGCCCTCACCCCCAGAACAATGATAAGGGAAACCCAGGCATGTTTCTTAGACATTTTACACACAGGATATTTACCCTACACTCATAGGATTTAAACAGTCGTTAGTGCGTCAGGGGATGTAGCGGAGTTGCTGGAGCGCTCGCCTATCAATCAAGGAAGCACAACGCCCTGGACTGAAGCTCCGGCACTACATCACCGGGCGCTGGTACACGCCTATAATCCCAGAGGCAGAGGCAGGGGACCACAAGGTCTGAGTTACCCTTGGCTGTACAGTGAGTCTGAGCTTAGCTTGAGCTACGAAAGACCTTACGAGTGAAAAAAAGAAGGGAAAGAAATGGTAACTGATAACTCAAGGACATTACACCTGCAGGCAGAACTCTCTAATAAGTCAGTATGTGAACTACATTTTTAGCATTCCCATTTCATTTACTAAATATACGCATGCACCACACATAATGCATCCAGATTACATAAACAATTCCGTTTGCTTATTCTGACTTTGCATGAGGCCATGCATCACCTCAAACTGTATCCAATTTAGTGTTACCCAGGCACTGTCGAGTTGGCACAACGAACCAAGCTGGTGTTTACGAACAGGCCTTCTCGGGAGAAAGCGGCGTTACCTGGGGGGCCTTTGACTGGTGTCTTGGGGGATTCGACGTGATCTCTGTGAATGGATTTTGGCCGCTGCTTTTTCTGTTTCGCCAGCTGAGGGCGGGGCTTGATCACTGTGTCCATGTCTTCCATTAGTTTTAGTTGTTTTCGCCTCATGTACTCCTGCCTGATAAATTCCCTGCGCGCTCGCTCATCCTCTTTCTTCTGACGCTCTTCCTCGGTCTTACGCCTAAGAAACCAAAAGCGGCTCAATCGATTACTTTGCACACCGAACAGAAATGGCATCGGAGAGAGCTACACATTTGATGGGAGAAAAAGGGAAACATTACATTTCAGAACCTTGGGAGGAAACATAGTTGGCTTAAGGACGTTTAAAACTTTGGTCATCTTTCTTTCTTCGTGGGTGGTGCGTGTATGTGTGTACTTCTCAGTTGAGTCATTTTAATGTCTTCCAGACATTAACACTGATTTTCAAAGTTAAGGCTCCTGGAGAACTCTGACAAGCAAAACGAATACCCTGAACTTCTTAAAAAAAAAAAAAACAAAACAACAAAAAAAAAAACACCCAAGTCAGCAATGCCCCAGCTGCGCTACACGGCCCCCGCGCATTCGAAGGGTCTCGTTGACAGCATAGAGGTGTGTATTGTGCATGGCACACCTGCAGACTGCTCCTGCCCCTGAGTGTGGGTGCGGGGGGAGAGGAGTGTCGCCCGGGACCGCTCAGCAGTGTCCTTACCTTGTCTCCTCTTTCTTATGCTCCATCTCCGCCTCCAGCTGCTGCTTCCGGAGCTGAGTTTCTCTCTCCCTCCTTAACCGCTTTTCCAACAAGGCTGCCCGCTTCATCGCCATGTCGTCCTCTGCCTTTTGGTCATCCTAAGAACAAAAGGGTTGGTGAAAAGGGTACGCATTTTAGATCCCAGGATTTTCATCGTCTAGCACAGCCACACCTTGTAGTTACTCGTGTCTGAAAGTCTGAACTAATTGCTACTTTACCCGATGTGTACACGGTTCAGAAAATATAAAGATTCCTTAATGGCCATCAAAAGAACAAAGTCTTTTGGTTGTTGTTTTAGTTTGTGTGGTCACGCATACTGCGATGCTTGTGTGGAGCTGGGTGGGTAACTTGGAGTCTGTTCTGCCCTCCATCACGTGGGTCCCGGGGGCTGAACCCAGGTCAGCAGGCTTGGTGGTAAGAGCCTTTCCCTTTAACCATCTCATGGCCTGAAAACAACTGCTTAAAAATCTTACATGTATGTGCGCTTGTGTACCCAGTATTCATGCCATGGCACAAGCAAGGAAGTCAGAGGACAATTTGCAAAACTTGGTTCTCTCCCTCCACAATTTGGCTTCCGGGGATCCAATTCAGATTGCCAGGCTTGACAGCAACTGTCCTTCCCCAATGAATCATGTCACTGGCCCCCAAATAACTGGCCTTGATTCTAATAACCTAAAGTAGGTGAGTTTGACCCCCATTTTAAAAATCACACTTAAATAATAGTGGTCTGTAACCCTCCCTGACTTACTGACCCACCGGGACACTCAGTTCCCAGAAGGCTTCTACACACGCTTCACAATTCAAGCAAGAAGCAAGTAACAAGCTGCACTACCCGTTCATGGGCCTAAAGAATCCTTGAGGATTCTTCTTTGGTGGCTAATAACACATTTGCATCACAGCGCTGGACATGGCAGGCGTTAAATCACACAGACAACAGGCACCTTTGCCTCTTGCTTCACAGGGGAGCCCAGAGACAGACCTCAGGATCGATGGAAAAAGTCAGATGATACCACCGAACCCATCAGCTCGAACGTGCATTCCTGTGTCCATCAAACCACACACACACACACACACACACATACACTCACACACACACACACTCACACACACGCACGCACGCACACACACACGCACGCACACACTCACACACGCACGCACGCACACACGCACACACACACTACACACACACTCACACACACACACTCACACACACTCACACACTCACACACACACACACACACACGCACACACACACGCACACACACACGATGCTCTGGGAAGAAAGAAACCAGTCCCCCGGCCATTCACAGTCTACGTGGAGAAAAGGGAAAAGAAACACAAAGCACCCTGGGATACAGCTGCACTGTCAGGGCATGCCACAGAGACACAGGTGGACGCACTCACTAGTCAAGGAAGCGCGAGAAGTCTTAGAGGGAGCAGAATTTATTAAAGAGCAGTCATTCTGGAGCAGTGGTTCTCAACCTTCCCAACGCTCCCTCATGCTGTGGTGAACCCTGCCCATAAAATTACTTCATTGCTACCTCTCAACTGTAATTTTCTACTGTTATGAGTCATAATGTAAATGTCTGACAGGCAGGATATCTGATATTGGACCCCTGTGGGTCCACAAGTTGAGGACCTCTGGCCTAGAAACCATGAGAGAGAAACAAATCTAGGCTAGTAGGTATGGGCTGTTCTGCCCTGTCCCTGAGCTGGGCGAGTTTAAAAAGACTTGCCCAGAATGCCTGAGGATGCAGGATCACCCTCCCATTCCACGTTTAGATGCAAGTACAGGGTCTGCCATGCAGCCTGGCTCTTGGATACAGTTAGGAGCATGGAGAACAGGACAGCATGGGTATGAGTAAAGGCAAGAAGTTACACCCATGCCCCAGAGGCGACCTCTGGGACAGCGAGCACACGGAAGGAGCCCTGTGGAAAGGAAGGTACGGCGGTTGCCTAGCCTATGCTGGAGCTCCCCCAGCCCCATCTTCCTTTCTGGGCAAGGGGCAAGGGTATCAAAAGACTTTAGACCTGCACATAAAACTTTGCTGCATTAGCATCTGTAGTAGCAGTCTATTAAAAAAAAAAAAAAAAAAAAAAAAAAAACCCAAAAAGTAAAAAGTGGTAGTTTTATATGATTAAGAGACAAACCATGACTCACATCCAAATTTCTAAATGCCAAGAAAAGCCTAAGCATCCTGAGCTAAATTTAAAATAATCACAACCTTAAATGGCCAACAGTAAAACTACCAAGGACCTCACTTTGCCGTTTCTACCCATTACTACTGCACACGGCATCTAAATGTTAAATTCTGAAGCCGGGTACGTTTTCTAATGACATCTGCCCTGTGCAGCTTTTTACAGGGTCAGAGGTAACGGTCCATGAAAGAAAGAAGTATAAACAGCACATGTTTCTAATTGTGGAAAACAATCTTCCATGTGGTAATTTAGAAAACTATAAAGATGAAGAAAATGGATAATCAAGGAGGAAAAAAAAAGCTTTAATATTATTACGGTTTTATTTATAAATTCTAAGATCTTCGCTATCAAGAAGTCACACTGTCTAGGTTCTAGCAGACATAAAGGAGAGCATGGAGCATCCGCAGGGGAAATGGCTCAAGTCTCCAACCACTCCTGTGGACCCCGAGAAGCAGTGGAACCTGACAAGTCCTTCAGAAGAAATCACACTGTCATTTATTTGGCTGAAGTACCCATTTAACTACTGTTATCTAACGGGTAAGAGTAAGGCTCACATTCCTCATCTGTACAGATACAAGATTAGAGATCATGTTTTAGTGTCTTCACTAATCGGAAGAACACATTTCCAGTTATAGAAGAACAAACTGTGGTCTATGATACAGAGTATAACTAGGTAACGCCATGGCCTACAGACCGGGTACACGTCTCTCTTCAGACTGTCTTTACAGCAGTTTTCCGGGGCGGACAGTGTAGCTTGTGGCAAAGCTCTGCCCAGCATGCAAGGCCTTGGCTTTGGCTCTCTGAGAGAGAGACCTGTATCTTAATGATAATATCAAACTACTACGTTTTTACTTCGCCCAGTCGATATCGGATAAGTGTAAAATTAAAAAACACGATAAAAATGCTAAAACCTTAAAATATATTTATATGTGATGCAATATGAGTACTTTTACAGATTGGGAGTAGCCGGTGTCCCTTACTGTTTCTAGAGGACAAGGCAGGGCTTGCCTAGGCACGTTCCACGAGTAATGGCTGACTTGTAATAAAGAGGTTGTTCCTGGAGAAGTAACTGTATCTACCAGCTTAGGAGACATGCAGGCGGCCGTCCTAAGAGGGTGCTCTAAACTACCTGGACTGGTTAGCGTTACCTTAAAAAAGAATCCGCAGCAAACTTTCTGGTCATCTTCACATTGCTCTCTATCGCTCTCTCCACCATAGCTTTCGGCAGGTACATCAGCCTTTTCGGGGGGCTTCAAATCTGACAGAGAAACTTCAATCAGATTGACATTTTTAGGAGTGCTGGGCGGGAAAACAGGGTCAGGGGGTGGATCGGTGGGCTGGCTCAACTGGTCCTCATTTGGCGTCACACACACTGTCTCTGTGATGGGCTGTGACAAGACTTCGGAAACTGTCGACTCAACAGGTTTCGTCTCCTTCTCCCCAGGGTTCCGGTCACAAGGTTCCAACGGCTCCTTTTTAGTCTCTTTTGGTTTGGGGTCTTTTAACTGAGGCTCTCCGTCATCACCAAAACACACAAATGACCGTGTCTGAATGGGAACCTGACTGGGCGAAAACCTCCTTAATCGAGGAAGACTATCCACAGACCGAGGAGGCGTCAAGGTTCGATTCAGAGGAGTGATTTTCAGTTCGTTTGGCCTTGGAGTCCTTTGATTTTTAACAGAGAAGGATGCACTCTTCCTGTTGGAAGACTGTGGGGACGGATGAGTGGGTCGAGGAGAGTCAGACGAGAAGGGGGCAGCAGCTGAGCACAGGCCTGCCTGTCTAGGCTTAAGGTCACGAACCTGCTTCTGTGGAGAGGGCTGTGGAGGGGAAATCACCCACGACTGCTGCTCCCTCATCTGCATTAACATCTCCTGCTGCAGGGAGAGGCGCTGCATTTCTTGTTGCAGAAAATGCAGGGACGAATTTAGCTTTTCGATGGACTTTGTATATTCCAAAATTTCCCCTTCGTTTAGAGTCTCTTCCGAAGGACTTGTCAGGTTCCACTGCTTCTCGGGGTCCACGGGCGTGGTTGGAGATTTGAGCCATTTCCCCTGCGGATGCTCCATGCTCTCCTTTATGTCTGCTAGAGACTTGCTCCTTTGTCCGCCCATTTTCTGTGGTTCCTTTTCTTTTGCCCGGTCGGTGTATACCTTCTCATCTTCCGCGCCTGCTGCCTCCTCTCGAAGAGGGGACACCCCACCCCCTTTCTTTTTCACTACGGTTAGGAACGCTGTCCTTCCCATTTTCTGCCTCTGTCGAGTGAAAGCAGCTTCCATCTTCTTTTTCTGGGCTTCTATAGCGCGTCTCTTTTCCTCTAGCCTCATCCTAAGCTGCACCACTTCCGAGGCCAAGAGCTGGGTGGTGTCCCGTCCCTGGGCGATGCCTGCTTCTTCTGGGATCTGGGCCCAGGAAACGACGTGAGGGATGTTGAGCTCGGAGCCCTCTGGGGTCGTCTTCTGGGAACTGCCCCCACTGCTCCTGCCGTCCATGTGGTTGAGCTTCCTGAACTTCTGCTCAGCAAAGCTTGTCATTTTCACTCCGGAGCTGGAGGATGCACTGCTCCCGGGCTGAGACTTGGTGCTGATGGTACTCGGGCAAGGGCTCAGGGCTTCTCTGGGGTTGCTGGCTCTTATATCATAGTCCTGAAGAAACTTGGATGCGTCATCCATGTCAGAGTCTAAGCTAACAGTGTAATCTCTCAAGGAAGAGTCTTCGTCCATTGTTTCCGGAATATCCTCTGAAGGAACATGAATGCCCGTGTCCACCTCTGTAGTGTCTGTTATGGGACTCAAGGTCCCTTTTGTGTCGGTCACATTATCAGGACTAGACTGACTCAGCTTGATGTTTGAGTTCAGGATGCTCAGGCCCTGACTGTGAAGAAAGAAGCCATTAGCGATGGGGTCTGGCCGAGGTGTATGAGGGGCCTTTTCAGTGTCATGAATTATTTGCAATGCTTCTTCGATGCTTGGAGTCTCGATCTGATTGCCAAACTCATCCAGAGGCACTCGGTTTTGCAAAGCCCCGTTTGGAAGCCTGTAGTGAGCATTCTCGTTAGAATTTAGTTCATTTGTGTTAAGAGGCATGTAAGATTTGAGGTCAGTTCGAGGGTCTGCATGAAGCTCTTCTTCAATGCCTTCTTCATCATCTTCTTCTTCTTCTCCATTCATTGGCTTGAAGGACAAGTTCTTCCTGATGTGTTTGGATGCACGGCTGTTGCTGGGAGTCAGCCCTTCATTACTAACAGAGCGGACGATCCCTCGGTTTGGAGTGCATCTCTGAGCACTGTCTTCTTTATCAAAAGAGATATCGAATGAAACACCATGCACAGATGTTCTAAAAGAGATGTAAAGACAAACTGTTTCAGAAGTGATTTTAAAAAACCGTTAAACAACGATCTCAAAGTCTATGCCCGCCCTCCATCTTTTCACACTCTCACTGACGTCACGGTAAGATCGGACCACTTCACTACCTTTTATTAGCCCCTTTGACTGCTGCCATACCCCTAAGCTACTCTTTTCCAAGTCAAGTCCTAATTAAAATTTTGATTTGACAACTTGGCTAATGGCTAAAAGCAGAGTGAGGTAAGACCGGCATTTCTGGTAACGTGACTGCACTGATGACCCTGCCTACTTACCTTTTCTCTTTAGGCCATGTTCCTATGAAGCCATCAACATAAGACATAGATGAAGACCTTCTAATTCCTCCTTCAAATGCAAGAAAGGAAAACCCATTGAAACCACACACTTGACGTATTTGAGAGTTCATTCAAGGTACTAGAAAGCAGGGTCTCAGCAGCAGCAACACAGCTTAGGGGAGGAATGTGAAGTGTACAGCTAACAGCTGTGGGTTCAATCCCCAGTAAACGACCTCCCTGACAGGGCGTATGTCCATGTAAAGAATTGTATTTTGTTACAAACCAAGCAAACACACATATACTTGGGAGTAGCTCACTGCAGTAATACTAGCCTAGCACTTGGGAGGTTGAGGCAGGAGGGTTAGTAGTTCAAGACTAGTTTGGGTAATACAAAGAGACCTCAAGAAAAATTAAAGCCGGGCATGGTGGCACACCTCTGTTAACTGGGCACGGTGCTGTGTGCACACCTCTCTCCCAGATCAAGGCAGGGACACCAGAAGCTTTTATGAGATCTTGTCTCCAGAACAAAATAAAAGCACGCACAGGGTCTAGCGAGGCAGCTCACTGCACTTGCCTGGCATAGCATTACCTGAGGTCCCTAATACCACCAAAGGGGGCGGGGGCGGGGGCTGGCATGGAGCTACAGACCACCCATCATGGACATAACAGACACTTTTCAGAAAAAGATTAGATGTCTACATTTATTCTCACTTATTCTCCAGTTAGCCTACTTAAAATGGCCTCCTCAAAGGTCTTTTCAATACATTACCTGAGGCTGAAGACTGAGCTTGGGGACGTGCATGTCTGAAAGGCAAATGATGACACAGTAAATATAGCTCCTTCCCAGTGTACCACATCTCTCTCTTTATACACACACACTTTTATAAAAAAAATAAATAAATAAAATAAAATCCCACAGAAGACATGCCAAGCCTCTCAGCACAGCCTGAGTCTCTAGACCTCCAACCCCAGTGACAGTGATCTCCACCTTGAAACCCTCATAAAGACACGAGATCCACTGTGCCCACCCCCATCAAGTGAAGTTACACATCCCATCTCCAGGTGCGGTGAATCACAGACCAGGGGCAGCAGCCTGCTCACTCAATAACACCGTCTTTCAGCTCCTATAAACTGAGACTCTGAACAAGCCAGCAGACTCAGAGAGCTTATCAGTGCTGTGCTTAATCAATCTCCACAGTAATACCGAAGATTGCCTGTCCCAACCAAATGCTATCTGGGCCCTCTGAATCTTTCTCCCCAGTGTGCGCAGCCTGGCCTGCCTCTCAGTTTCTTTGTGGTAATTTGTTAGGACTGTCAATAAACACAGACAGTTGCCAAGCATGTCTGCGATGTCCGTCCGTCTAAATATGTTCCATTGCTTGTATATACCAGAGAGAGTAATCCCGAATACAAGGAAACTGGTTATTAAAATACGTTTGCTCTTTTCTTCTTCCCCAAATAATGGCCACCATGATAAAAAGCTGGTAAACTGTGTCATTTTGAGACTCTCAGAGGTTCGGTGTTGCACACTCCTGAGTCAGCTAGGAGCCAAGGAGGCGCGGCAGCTGCTGGGCCTGCATTTTACTCAGAAGACCTTTATTTTAGGTGTAGTAACTAACACCTGTAGATAAGCCCACATTATTCCCAGGGAGAGCAAAAATGATCCAAAAGTTCTACGAAGAGTGGGTGGGGAGACGGCTCAATGGTTAAGAACACTGGCTGCTCTTCCAGAGGACCCGGGTTCAACTCCCAGCATCCACACAACAGCTCACAACTGTCCGTAACTCCCATTCCAGAGGATCCAAACCTTCACACAGACACACATGCGGGTAAAACAGTACAGCATTCAACAAAGACTTGATACTGTATTTATTTAATTGCTACATCTCAAGAACTAAGTAAGTAGCAAACAGAACAGTGGTGTGCTGAGGCTCCCACTGACCCGCGAATGCTTGGGCCCCAGTTGCTGCAGGGCAGCTATGGAATTTTGAGGAAGGCAGCCTTGTGAGGGAGCATGTCACTGGGGTGCGCTCTGAGGGTTTAAATCTTCCCTTCTCTTCCGGTTCACGCCCTCTGCTTTGTGTTTGCAGTTGAAGAGGAGAGCTTTACGCTTCCCGCTCTGGCTACCTGCTGCTGTGCCAAAATAAACTACCTGAAACAGCTTTTGGCCATGGCGTTTTAACACAGAAACGAAAAATTAACTGATGTAAGTGGGGAAGACCTGCTTCAAAGAGGGCTTTTTAAATAATGGGAAAATAAAAAAAATCCAGGGCTAGCAAGATAGTTCAGCAGGTACAGGTAGTTGTCAGGGCCGATGACCAAGTTTGCTCCCCAGAAGGAGTCGTCACAGGACTACTGACCTTACAAACTGTCATCTGGCCACATGGGCTCATCCATAAATAAATGCAGATACAATTTTAAAAGTTCCCTGGGGCCTGAGAGTCACCTATCGGCATTTTTCCAGTTACACTATTAAATAATTCTCAATTGTAGGAACAACGCAGCAAAAGTTTAATTTTAGGTTTCTCATTTGGAACTTAGAACATTTTCTCCCGGTTTATGATGAAATACTCATTTCAAAGTAAATTAAAATAGGCCTTAGTAAGGAGGAAAAGGTAATTGTAACTTAATGTATAAATCCAAGTACAAAATTAGAAAACCCTTTTTAATGTCAAAATATGATCTGACGTCATTAGCAGTCACAATGGAGATTGGGGGGGGAGGGCGTTGTGGACTCTACCTTGAGGTGAAGTCAGAACTATCCGGGATGTGTCCTTTGTTCAAGACGGGGACTGATGGCACATCTTTCACAGGTTCAGCTGAAATAAACGATAAAACTTCAAAACTGCATGCTCAATTTATTTCTAACAGGATTTCAGACATTCTGAGCCATAGTCATCATTTAAAATTACTTATAAAATAATCACAGTCCTCCCCCCCAACTCCCCTCTCTGTGCTGGGGATCACGCTTAGGACCCCAGAACTGCCCTGGTTCTCTTTAAAGAACTCCTTCTGACAGAAATGTGCCCTTAAATCATTTCCATAGGACAAAAGAATTTACAATTCACTTAAGGTTAATGGGGGGGGGGGGAGAGGTACCGTAAAATAAATACAGGTATTCAAACAAGGATAAATCTGAGCACTTAATCCTGTGAAAGTTTTCATGAAATTTTACATACACCAGGCCAGTTTCAGCTTTGGTTTTTATGAAATAGCTGGTAATTTAGTAGTTAATTAAAGATAGTCAGAATTTCATAGGAGTAAAAAAAAAAAAAAAAAAAAAAAGAACTCCCCCCATATCATCTAGCCTTACATATTTGTAAGTAATTCTAGGGGGAAACAACTTGGTTTTGGCAAGAGCTTTGTCAATGTTGAGTGCTGCGCTTCACAGATAAAAATCACAAAAAGTGCAAGTGAAGAGTCACACTAACTGCAAAATAATGTGTAAATACAGCTTATGACAATTAGGAGACCTTCATGAATGGCCTGAAGGATCTCAACTTCCTTCAAGGTACTATTTATTATGTACTGCTCAGTATTCAGAATCCGCTTTAAGTGGTTCTGAGACACCAGGATAGATCAAATACAATCGGTCTCACGATGTGCAGACTCTTGCCCGAGACCGGCACACTTTATAAAGTAAGATTATACTCACGGGATGACGTGCCTTTCTTTAACAATTATACCCCGCCCCCCCTTCCTAATATTCCCCCTCCTTCTTATCTCTGGGAAGGTAGAGTTAACTACAGCGATTAGAAACGGGAAACTGGAGCCAAGGGAAGCTGCTAAGTACCGGGGATCAGAGCAATTTTGTCCTGGGTACAGGGCCACTGTAGCAGGAAGGACTGGCCCCATAATTTAGGAAGTTCTAAGCTTAGAAGAAACACTAAACTCAGAACCATTTTCCCCTTGTACGAATATGTGTTTGACTTGAAAATGGAAGCCAGTTTTACTGTGCTACACATGGCATTTGCTCCAGAAAAAGAAAAATCCAGGAGGGATTCTTTTTTGTGTTTTTGCCTTCTGGAAGTGAGGAAGTTTGAACCCGGGGCTGTAAGCAAGCGAGGCAAGTACTCCACCACTAAACTGGGCAATCCAGTCTCTACAACAGCCCTCTTATTCCTTATTAATTTTATCATAATTATACCCTAATAAAAAAGGTCACTAATTTAAAAAAAAAACATATCCGCAAAGTATTTCATGGCTTAACAAAATGCAAGTTATAGATTAAGGTCAAGTGCTAATGTGAGTGTGGAGTCCGGGTAACATAATGCTAAAAACAGAGGATTTAATAGGAAATAAAAGCTACTTATAGGAACAAAAGATGTAAAGACAGCACCCAGCTAACACTAAAGTCCCATACCATGAGATGCCAAACACACGGGCTGTCTTCTGCTTCTTGCAGATAATGTGGTGCTGTAACTACTCAAGCATTTAGGCTTTTACCAAGGATAATAAGAGCAAGTCTCTATGTAAAAGAGTACAGGGACCGATTACCTCCTTGTGGACGAACAGCGCGTGGCTGCACAAAGGACGGCTTCACCACTTCAAACCACCAGAAGAGCTCTGCCATGAACACCAAATAATTACTCTATATAAGAGAGTTAAGAAAATTAAAGGAAGCCCCCGGTGAAACCAGCCACAGCGATGAACATGTACGCTCTATCCCCTCAAATCCAGCTCTGAATTCCACTCACTCACTGTTAAAAACATTCACCGTGCTTTATTAACCCTGGGGTAAAACGTCTGGCTGTAAACACATATTCAGAGCTCCGACACTTCGTGTCATAGGTCAGAGCAAACCTCCCAGGCAACACTACCTCTGGCCACGTGGAGTTCTGAGGTAACAAATGTCCTTTTCTTCTAGTGCAAATACGAACAAATAGCATGAAGAGTATTCACCGTTAGAAACAGTAAGAGTTCTTTGAAAAGTAATTAAATATGTTAAGTATTGTATCCATATTTGATAATGCTAAATTCAACAGTATTCCACATGCTGAGTGATATCAAACCCTGTAGGTTGGCATGACTGAAATAATCATGAAATATATAAAAATATTGTTTCATAATTTAATGTATCCTTCTAATTTTGAAAACATTAAGGAAAACAATCTTTATATTCGAAAACACAAATAATTCTTTAAATAACTTAAAGGAGTTCTCAAAAGCATAGTTCTATAGGATTATATGTATAATATGTAACTACTTATATACACACACATATATGGTTTGGATTTTTTTTCCCTTTGTTTTTTTTCACAGTCTTGAAACCTGAGCAGTGAGATTTAGATGTATCCCAGTGTACTAGAATAAGGTTTATATACTAGAATACATTTGAAGGATACTTGCAATTTTTAAGTATTTAATAAATTTCTAAAAGTAGCACTATGCAAAACCTGTTTTCCTCATGGTGGCTTTGATCTCTGGAATATGGGGTGTTTTCTTGCTTATCTGCTAATTTTGAATAATACTCTAGGCATTAGACATACTTCTTTATATGCATACACACACAGTTACATTCTTTTTATCGACTTTACCGTTACTTAACAATGTCTTAGGGAGCGTTCTGTTTCAGCAAAAGCAACAAAACTTTCAACTACCTTCCTTTAAATGGGTCAATTATATTACAAAACATTTAAATTATGATGGATCATTTCTAACTTTGCAGCATCAGGAGCAGTCCTTTATGTGCCTCTGGATGGGGACTATCCCTTTAAAAAATAGTCTATTGAGTACACTGCAAGGGAGCTAGGCTCCAACCAGGACACAGCCTGGCCCTTCAATGCCTTCTGGGTGGCGTTTAGGATCCAGTAAAGGAAATTGGCCAGGCAATGCCCAACAATCCTCTAAAGCAGCCACATCCCAAAAGGCGCTGCTCATTTCCCATGCATTCCTAAATACCCACTATTAAAAGTTAAAAGTGACAAACAGGTGCTCAGAGACATGGGCCAGGCAACTGCCTGGAGTTTAGAGCCTCAAAATAGTACGCTAAATCCAAGCTTGTCTTGTGATAATTAAGCAAAGAATGTAGGACATGAACAAAGACATTTTGTTGACAATTACTTATTTTAAAAAAGTTGTTTTTATATTTGTATCATGCTCAAAATGATCTAAATACCAGGATTATTTATTTGGTTACTGAAAGTCTATATTCTGTTCTCCAAAATGGACAGGAAGGAATAATACCAAAATCCTTAGCAATTTTAAAACAAATATACATCTTAGGTGCATGACAATTTTTCATCTTATATTATAGAAGTAGCGCTTATATTTTATAGAAAATGCTAGAAAGTCATCAGTAATATATAAAGGAAGTAATGGTGTAGGTAAACCTTCAGAACGATTAATAAGGTCTCCCTTTTGGTGGGTCAGAGTAGGGAGTGGGTAGCATTTGAGTCACAGGGATTAGTGCCTCATTTGGAAATGCTTTTATCATTGGCTTTATCCTCTGCCCTTTGGAGATCCTGAAATGGACAAAGGAGACAGAGGAGATACTAGAGAACAAGAATTCTAAGTGTAAGGCTCTAGCATAGTCAGGAGAGCTATTTAGCTCTTCCAAAGTAGGATTAGCACTGGAACTCTGACTAGGCTCAACAGAAAATTGTTAACTCTGAGCCAAAGTTGTGAGCCAAACTAAACACAAGATCACTTATTTTAAAGCTTCTAAACTCGAGCAGCACAGGGAGTGACAGAATTAACATTGCTGCAGTTGCTAAATTACCGAAGGGACCTGCAGGTTCGAGGTAAGCCTCATCAAAGTTCCAATGACACTCTACAGAACCAGAAAAACAACCCTGAAAATCACGTGGAACCCTCCGAACCCTGAAGAGCCTAAGTAACCCTGAGCAAAAAAGAGATCTGACATCTGATTTTAAATCTACCAAAGAGGCTACAGAGGGCTCCGTGGGGCATGGTGGGCCCAAGGCTGGATCCCCAGCATCGATGCAAAAGCTAGGTGTGGCTGCCCTTATCTTAACTCCACACACACACACACACACACACACACACACACACACACACGCACGCACGCACGCACGCACACACACGCACGCACGCACACATGCGCGCACACACACACACACGCGCACACACGCACGCACGCACACACGCGCACACACACACGCACACACACACACGCGCACACACACGCACGCACGCACGCACGCACACACGCGCACACACACACATGCACGCGCATGCACACACGCCAAAGTGTTTCATTTGGGTCTCTAATTAAAAATGTTTCACGATAACAAAGCTCCATCACTGTTTTTTTTGCAGTTTGAGAGGTGTCTCATTTTGTCCTGGGCACGAACCCAACTCATGCCTCCCCATCAGTTTGCAGGGAGCCAGGGTTACTAATTAGCACACACTCACACCAGCTTTTCAGTGAAGACTTCCACTTTTTGTCCCATTTACCTGTGATCAAAAACCAATGCTTCATAAACTACTCTGTCCACACCAAGACAACAGATCAATTTTACACACGGCTTTGTGTTTACGTTGCCTTTACGATGTAAACGACTTGTAGCTGGCAATGGGTACTTAAAGAGAGAGGAGAAGCCAAAACCAAACAAACGAACGCAGCCCCCCTCCCCCAAGCTCTTTATTGACAGTTTATAAGCTCTTATTTATGCTCACTATTTTTAGACAGAGGCTCTCTGCTGATCTCCACTGGCCTCACACCCACGCTCAAGCTGGCCTTGAACTCCTGATCTTCTTGGCCACACCTTCCTACGGCTAGTTCTAGAGGGGACTGAACCTGGGCCCTTGCGTATGACGGTGCCCACTGCGCCACTGAGACGCACCCCCCCCTCCCAGCTTGTTGCTATGACTTTTAACCCTTATCAAAAGGCGAACAGAGGAGGAGGACCTGATTTACCTTTATGGAGGATGCAGCATAAAGCATATCTTCCAAGCTGAAATGGCAGCAATGGTTTAAGTATTCTTGGCAAAACTCCTGAATCAACTGCAGATTATACAGGCTGTCGGCCAGAGACATGGTTTCTTTCAAACAGATATCTTCAAATAGAAAAGGGGATGACTTGCGTTAACCACGGACACTTCATGACTACTTACAATACAAATACACAATTGTGTAAAACCTGCTCGGCAAATGTATTTATAAATGGTAGACAGCCATTAGACAAAAAGTCCTCAACTTCCTCAGAATTATATTTTTTAAAAAATCCTTCATTAGTTCTTAAATACTCAATTTTTTTTTTTTTTTTTTTTTTTTTTTTTTTGGCCCTCTACCCACAGTTCGGAAATGTATCCCTGGAATACTTACCCTCTAATCGGACAACACCAGGACAGTAAAAATGAATAAGGGCAGCTAATGCACAGCCGTCTGTACCATCCTTCAACAAATTTTCTACCAATGGAATGCAAGGCAGTTGCTTAAGCAACGTCTGTTCCTTCCTGTAGCGAGCCTACAATACAGAGAGTTCTAAATAAATACCAAGCAATGCAAAGAAAACAAACAAACAAACAAACAAAAAACCCCCCAAGAATTGTAGATTCTAGTCCTTAATAATATTAAGAAAATATAAATCAGGAGAAACAATTTTATTTACTCTAATATTAGACTTAATCAAGACTGAAAGTTCTTACAGGAAGACTTACAGCTTTTGGAGAGCAAAGGAACCACAGAGAAGTATTTAGAAGCGCTGTCAAAATTGGGGAGGAGCAGCCGGATAGTATTACCCACAGAGAAAGTCTGGAGCCTAGGCACAGCACCAGAGTATGCTGCTCTGTCTGCCCTCTGAACGGCAGGGCGCACAGCACCAGACTTCAGAACCAGGGAACAGAGCCAAGGGTCAGGGTCCTGCTCCCCTCACAAAAATACATCTTAGCTTTCTAAAAATAACTCGATGGGGTTGGAAACAATGGCAAGACAGGTGTGCTGGGTGTACACCTTTAATCCCAGCAGTTCCAAGACACCCAGGACCGTCTCACAGAGAAACCCCGTCTCGAAAATCCAAAACCCCAAACCAACCAAACAATTAAAAAAAAAAGTTAACACAGAGGCCAGTGTGATGCTGGGGTTTAGTCCCAGCACTCGGGAGGCAGAGGCAGGTGGATCTCTGTGAGTTCGAGGTCGGCCTGGTCTATAGAGCTAGTTCCAGGACAGCCAGAGCTACACAGAGAAACCCTGTCTCTAAAAACCAAACAATAAAATAAAATAAAAATAAAAATGTTAAGACAGACCTGTGAAAGTGAGAAACCCTGTAAAAAGTTAAGAGAAAAACTCTTAAGCTAAATTACCTGCACTTACATCTGGGTTCTGCCACTTACTAGTTGTGACTTTGGACAAGCTACCTAAACACTCATTTCTCATTTTCCTTATCGGTAAACGGGGATAGTGAAACCCACTTCACAGCTCTACTGGGGACTTAAAAGACGATGGTCACGCAGAGCTATGCTCACTCCTGGGTACATGGAAGCAATCAGTGCAGGCCGGCTGTTATTAGCTAGTAGTTCCCTACAGGCAAGGAAAATAATGCTTACGATTTCCTGACGGTGCACAAAGCCTTTCATTGGCAAAATGTATGGTTACATAGGCTACCGATATTTAGCAGGCATTTTAAAAACGTTGACTTCATGCTTACGGGGGTTTTGCCTGAATGTAAATATGTACACCATATGTGTGCCTGGTCTAGCTGTAGAAGCCAGAAGAGGGTCGGGGCCCCTGGATCTTCATTACAGAGGGTCGTGAGCTGCCATGTGGGCTCAGGAACTGAACATGGTTCCTCTGCAAAAGAAGCAAGTGGTCCAACCATTGTGGGCTAACCATTTAGCCATCTCTCCGGCTATAGGTGTCATTCTTATAAAAGAACAGCTTAAATTTTTTTCTTCTATCTGAATTCTATCTGAACTCTAATTCACCTCTGCAGTTTATAAATTGAAGTACAACTGTGAAAAAATGCTCATGAGACTAAAAGAAAATTTCAAACGTATTGGACAACACCTAACACATGAAGGTGCAATTAGAGTCTTTGAAATGATAATCCTCCAGGAGGCACAGGACACACATGAAGAGGCCGTATCTAACTCACACATGACCTGTACTCAGGGAGGAATCACTTACATGGCATCCTTTACACAGATTCTACTTTTCCTTTCCTTTTCCCCTTGGGGGAGACGAGGGTATATCAATGCAGCCTAAACTGGCCTTGAAACCTCGACCCTCTGCCCTCAGCTTCTGAACGCTGGTCTTACAGTTGTGAGACACCTTGCATAGCCTAACCTAGAGTCTTCGATCACTGACTTTTATACCGTTCCTAAAATCCTTCGGAGAGTTGCTGGGAGATAATTTAGAAGAGGGAGGGAGGAGGAGAAAGAAAGTCCGTGGTAAGCTCGCTTTCCAGGTAGTGAGCACTGCTCCACAGCCATCCATGTTCTTCTCTCCGATTATCTAGCAGGAGACTTGGACTGAGTTCCTTTCTATCTCCTCTGTCAATAAGCATTTATGGATAAGGAGTGTGTGTGTGTGTGTGTGTGTGTGTGTGTGTGTGTACTCATGCTATGTGTGTACTCATGAATGTCTATGGTGATAGGTCAAAGCATTTCCTTAAGACTATATATATCATATAAAATCCACTGAGCAAACAATTCCCAGATAAGTTATCTGCAAATCATGAGCTATAGGGAGACTTTTTTGGTTTAACTGCCCACACTTAACCCTGAAATATCAACCATCAGGTGAAATCTGAGTGTCGCAGTTTAGGTATAATACTGGTGAGGGCACAGATGAGCTTGTGATTTTTCAAACAGTGAAGTGTGTTATCTTCAATTAGGGTAAAAAAAAAAAATTCTGCCAAAAATAATTCAAACATGCAGACAACTTACACTTGCACGAAAACTAGCAAGGCTTCATACCCACTGGCATTGGTAATAATGGTCTGTGAACTTTGTAATGAGCAAGGGTGCTTATTCTTTAAACTGTCCTCAAAACTGGCTCGACCCACCATTTCCATTTTATATGAAGAAAGTATATTGAAACCTAATCTCTCTACTCAGTAACGGTACCAGAAAGCTATAAACAACACCACCCATACCATTACAACTCTGGAGAGAAAATCAGGAAGTAGTGAGGGAAGAAACTTACTGGAACCAGTTTCCAAAACCATTTGGAAGGAGACTTCAGAGGCAGCAGCAGAGGGAGAAAAGATAAGGCAGGAGGTGAAGAAAAAGTCTCCAGAACCATCCGATTAGCAAGCTACAGTGGGGCTTCTGACCCGGGGCTCTGCACACACAGCCCTCGCGTGTTTTATGCTAATTAACACCAGTTAAAGCTATGTAAATTCCAGTGTCCTCCGCTCTCCCCATACAGAATCACATTTTAAGATACTGAGGATATTTTAGGAACAAATAATTATATTTCAGAGATTCAGAATCACACATTGTACTTTAAAATAAATCCATATTATTAAAGTCAAAAGATTGAAGGGTTAGAGTCTTAGATATTAGTAGACCAACTGTAAGAAAAGAAGTCTTTCTGAAGGGGGGGGGGAATCACTCCAGTAAGCAGAGCAAAAGGCAAATAGCAATGTAGCTGAAGTGACTGGGAATCTAAGGGTTAATAATTTTGCTGACTAAGAGTGTCATACAGAGTAGTATTTTTTTATTCTTTAAAACTTAAATTCAGTAAGTTTCTAATCGCAGTACAAACCAGTTGTCAGTGACTATTTACTTTGCATTTTCTAGGATAGTTCTGGCATCTCTATGTCATAGCCACACACCCCACCGCAATGTGTACCTTTTGACCTCCTGGAGCTTCAGCTGGGTGATGCTCTTTAGATTTCTGTTCTTGTTCCATTATGTCTTTCAAGTGTTCATTTACCTTAAAATAAATTTTTAAAAAAATGTATACTTGCATTAAAATACAGCACCAAAATGACATGGTTAGATCCCCAATATCAAGTAAAATAACATGCACATAGAACATCATTTTTGCAACTAGAAAATAGTACTTTACAGGGAACTCTATTTGAAACTCAACAGAGTACACATTAGAGTACCTACTGCCTGTCAGAAACTGGAAAGTTCTAGTAGGAGCTTACTGCATTTGTGACATGTATTGTACTACTAAGTGTTCAACGCACAAAGCCCATCCGAGACAACAACTATCAACTCTGTTCAAAACACACAAAGCAGGGTTGGAGTGTGTGCAGCTCGATGGTAAGAGCATTGGCAGCATGCGTGAGAGCCTGTGTTCAACCCACACTTACGCATGCGTGTAAACACCCTGCTAAAGATAACAGAGGCAGGGGAGGGGGGAGAGGAAAGGACTCAGGGAGAGAACGAACTCAATGGGCTCCAACAATTTCACACAGCCTGCAGGATCTCAGCGAGTGACAATGGCCTGGCCTGTGCACACGGCTAACGTTGACATATGTGGGAAGATGGAGCCTGCTTCTGGGTGGCAGGGGTGGTGTGTGTGTGTGTGTGAGGAGCCGTGGAAGAGTGGCTACGACTTAAGCAGAAACGCAATCTCAGTGGCCTGAGGAATGGAAGAGCATCCTGGGGAGGGTGGGGGGCCACACCCTTTCTAACGCTGTGGACTTTCAATACAGTGCTGTGGGAACCCCAGCTGTGCCGCTGTTTTGTTGATGCCACAGAACTGTAATTGTGCCAATTATGAGCCATAATGTAGACATCTGATATGCAACCCTCAAAGAGTTAAGAACCACTGGTCTACTTACAATTTAGGCTCAAAATGTTGGCTTTACATTCACTATGTACGCTAGAGAAGGAACCTACGGACCCTGCTCGCAGGACAAAGAAGCTGCCGGTAGAGGGCAGTCCATCAAGCAAAGGAGGGCTTAGTAAGTACCTCAGATTTTCCAAAGAAACTTCAAAAGATGCTGAGTCTAATTTAAGGATAGAAAAGTCCACAGTGGATCTGTCAGCACAGGGACCCTAACTGACCGAGAGGAGCAATTTCAGGGTATGAATGACGAGACAGAGAAGGCTTACCAATTAGGAAAGTAACACTTTTGGGGGTGTTCAAGGAAATAAATGCGGCTGTATTTGGACGGAGAAACATGAATACAGCTCCTAGTGGGAATGATTCAAAGCAGCTAGGGAGGGAGGGACACCAGGAAGATGCGGCCGACACCCTCAGCCCTTGCTCCACACAGACCTACGCAGTTAACCAGCTCCCAGATGAAATCCCAGAACTAAGCAGGATGGTGAAAAAGGTGAGGCAAGTTCTAGAGCAACGAGCTTCGGGGCACTCTCTCTGACAGGGAGGGTACATTCTCCATTCGGACTAGGGAAAGGAGACCGTGGGAAGCCAGAGGAAATAATTCTGATATAACGGGTTTCCCCCGAAAAGATGAGGCCAGGCAACTCAGCTGCAGCTCAGATAGGGAAAACGTTCCCTGCCTGTGACGTCCAGGAAAGATGAGCCAGTCTCTAAGTGTGGGGACGTCTCCGTGCCCATCTTGAGTGGCTGGTGTGTGCCTGAAGCTGGTGGTTACGAGTTTAAAGTGGAACCAGCCCTCTAGTAACATTCACTTCTCAACATTTACTCAACAAAGCTCAACCACCTGAGGCCCAGCAGCGGTCAAGAGCACTTGCTGTCCCTACGGAAAACCTGGGTGTGTTTCCCAGCAACTGCGTGCTGGCTCACAGCCATCTGAAATTCCAGTTCTAGCCGGCCCCACATTTCCTTCTTGATGGAGCCTTTGGTCACCAGACACACATGTGGCACACACAGAAAATACACACAGGCGCGCGCGTGTACACACACACACACACACACAGCAACAGAATGGGTGGAGGACAGGGGAAAGCCTGAGCTTGAAGACAGAGCAGCGGAGCAGAACAACCCAGAGGACAAGGAGGTGTGCGAGAATTTTAAGGTATATGTGACACTCTGAAACCAAATTGTTTGGGTTAAGGCATAGAAGGAAATCATCACGTTCTAAAGGTATAGATATTTTCAAAGAACCATAAAAGGTAATCTGCCAGCGCTGGCTAGGAGGAGCTAACCAGATATAGGAGACTAGAGGGTGCTGTCACCGGGTTATTCTTGCTGAGGTGATACACCACGATCAAAGCAGCCTGGGGAGGAGAGGGCTTATATGGATTCTGCTTCCATCACTCGTCATCACGGAAGGAGGCCAGGGCGGATGCAGAGGCCGTGGAGAGATGCTGCTCCTGACTTGCTCCCCACGGCCTGCTCAGCCTGCTTTTTTACAGGACCCAGGACCACCAGCCCAGGGGTAACACCACCCACGTGGACTCCCACATCAATCACTAATTAAAGACCACCTGCCTGCAGCCTGACCTCAGGGAGGCATTTTCTCAGATGAGGCTCTCCTTCTCAGGTGACTCTAGCTACTGTCATAAGGCTACACAGTACAGGCACCAAACAGAAAGACTGGAAAAGAACCTTCCTTTGCCACATTCTAATTAAAACACTAAATACACAGGACAAAGAAAGCACCGTGAAAGAGGTCACATGACGGGGAGGCCCACGGGGACGACACCAGATCATTCAGCTGGAACTTTAAAATCCAGCAGGGCTTGGAGTGATGTATTTCAAGTTCTGAAGGAGAAGTACAGCCAATCCAGAGCTCTACGCCAGCAAAGCTACTAGCCACAACCGAAGGGAAGCTTAAAGCTTTCATGATCGCCAAGGCAGATCTACAGAAGATACCTAAAGAAATCTTAGACTAAAAGGAAAAGCAAATCCATCCGCAAGGCCACAGGAAAACTAAACAATACTAAAAGATTGCTAAGGAATAGAGGAAGAAAGAAAAAAAATGCTGTAAAGTGACCAAAATGGCAGGAAATCAATATATAATTTTCAACAATAACTCTGAATATTAAGCCTCCAATAAACACACCTCTCTCTCTAAGAAGCAGGCATTGCCTCTGAGCGGGAGAATGGAATAAGGTATTCCAGCACATGCTACTGTCTCTGACAAAGCAGATCTCAAACCAAAACCGGTGGGGAAAATTAGGTAAGGGTCACGTCATACTGGTTAGAGGAACGACAGTCCATCAAGAGGATGTTACTTTCTAAACATGTATGTTCCCAACATAGGTAAACCCAGTTTCATAACACAAATATTACTACATGGATATAAAGCCACAAATTAACCCCAGCACAATAGTGGGGTGACTTCTGCAAGATTTGAGTAAGGACACCTCGCTGCCCATCCCACAAACGGGGTTGAATTTTCTCTGCAATGGGATGTGGCACGCAAGCCTGTGACCCCAGAGACAGAGGAAAGGGGCCCTCTGCAAGCTTTGTCAGTCAGGCCTCGTCTCAACACTGGCTTCCAGCCTCACAGGTGCCAAGAACACAGATCTGAGCCACCGTGCTCAGCTTTATACGTTTTAAGATAAAATGTCTTAAGCAAACTGCACAACTTAAGCTTGCACTTTGATTCAAAACAAAAAAGTCACACAGGAGAAACGAGCAACTGAAGACTTCAGTTTTTCTGCTAGTAGACCCATTCCCAATTGACCACAAGCCTACCTACCTTATTTATCCAGTACATGACAGCATCCTCAATATCATAGGGCAGATCTGTAGCTTGAAAAAAAGCTGAATACTGTTGAGCACATGCAATTACTTTTTCTACGCTGACCATCTCTACAGTGTAAGCCATCATTAGAGTGTCAATCATGGCCAGATGTGCACTCTGAAAATAGAAAAGCACAAACAGTTTCAAAATTACACTTGGAAATCGCTTTATTGTACAGTACTAGCATTTTCTTAAAAACAGTAATAAAGCCAGGACAGACGCGTTAAGAAAGCACAAAGCAGGCTAACATGAGCTGATAGTACACTACTTTTATTATTCAAACACGTGAAAATGCTCTCTACTACTCAAGCCCCTTCTCCAACATTAGAATCGCCCGCCCACCATTTGCAATGTAGTTTACAAAGCCCAGAATCTCCACTGGTGCTGACCCTCATTTTTCAGACCCACAGTAGAACTTTATATCCCCTTTATATATCCCCTCCTGCTCTTCTTTAATACTGGCACACCCTCAATTTAGGTTACAAAGTTTTACTTCTGAATAAACAACAAAATCTTTAACTGATTTTCTTGCCTCCAAATTCTCCTTCATCTAATTCCTATGGCACAGGACTTGTAGTATTTCCTCGGAGTTTTTCTTTTGCTTTGGGTAATATATGAATCTGTTATATGGCAGTTAAAAAAAATACAAAAAAAAAAATCACAAAAGTATATTAATGGGCCGATCTTCAACTTCTGCTTCCCAGTGATGCCTTCAACTGGTATGTATTCTTACAAAAAATTAACATATACTACTTACATAGAATGTTCACATCGTCTACTATTTTTGGCATTACAAATAGTGCGGTAACACTGTCCTCTAGGGGATAATTACTTCCCGTGGGAGCTCCTGGGTCCGAAAGTAACTACAGTTTAAGCTTTGATAACCAGGAAAGTTATTTATGCCAGTCTTACATCCCACCAAGAATGCCAATTTCTACATTCTTTTATATTTACTTTTTTCGTCTATATAAAGGTTAAAAATCTCACACTTGTTTGCCTCTGGTTTGCTTTTATGTGGTTAGCAACGGTTTGCGTTTCTTCTTCAGAAACTGCCCATTAAGATCCTTTGCCTGTTTCTTCTTTGGAACAGTTTTCTCATTGACTTGTAGAAAGCTCCTCATACACTGGGTGCATCGATAGTCCTCTCTCTCTCCTGTGTGGACAGCAAATACTATTTCCTCGCCTTTCTTAGTAAAACCTGTCATTCTGGGTGCTTTCTTGTATGGCTCTCGAGTTTAGAGATACTGCCCTCTTATTTTCCCCAATATACTAAATCCACTTGAATTTTAAATATGTATGTAGTTATTTTCTTGGAGACTAAGGCCTTCCCTCTTGGAGGGAAGCTCCTCAAGACTGATGTTAAAAGGGGGAATTAAGCAACAGGATGTCTGTTCTAAGGAGAGAGGAAGATTGGGGAAGTAAACAACTCATCAGCTTCAGGAAGTCCCTGAAACTTGCCAAATTTATTAGGCTGCTGTTCCCCAGACCACATTAAGCTATAAGGATTGCGGCAGACACTTTGAGACCAGCTGAGCTGCCTGTAGGCTGTGCAGTGGGTTCCAGCTCCTATAAGTAACCCTTCACCCATATTCCTGGTAGTAACCCCAATAAAACACACGTGTTCACTAGCTGGACTTTGGTGGTACCCTTACAGCTGTATGTTGTTGGCTCCCTGTCCGGAGTGAGTAGATGTTCACAGACCCTCAGGAACGACACCACACAAAAGCTGCTTACTGAGATAAAGCTGTTCTATTATCTGGCTTGCACCTCTCACTGTAGGCTTCCTACCCCCTTCTTCACCCTACACATCATCTGCAAAAGCAGCAACGCAGAGCTCCCCTCTCCTTTAAGTCCGCCAGCCCTTTTCAAGCTTCTGTGCCTTAAGTTCCTAAGCTCCTCCTTTAAGGCTGACGACACAGCCTTGCATGGGCCTCTCAGTGTAAACCTTTTCCTTTGCCCTTTCCAATCAGATGCCTCGTTCATCCTCTAAACAGCAGGTTCCCACAGACTACAGGTACGCTTGAGTTACGTTCTGCCGTCATCAAGCAGGGACCGAGCACAGGTGTCAAACAGCTTCAGTGATATCGGCAAAGAGCAAGCAGGGAGACCCACACACAGCTGGCCCCAGCTCGTGGGAGCTCAGGGCCGGTGAACTTGACAGCTGGGAGCCTGCATGGGGGCAGAACACCCCTGAATGTGGTGACAGATGTGTGGCTTGGTCTGTTTGTGAGGCCCCGGCAGTAGGGCCAGGATTTATCCCTGGTGCACCAATTTGGCATTCCCTATGGTGGGATATCTTGCTCAGCCTTGGTGCAGGGGGAGGGGCTTGGTCCTGCCTCAACCTGATATACCAGGTGTACCTGGCTCCCCAAGGGAGGCCTTATACTCTCACTGAGGAGTGGGTGGGGAGTGGGGGGAGAGGCGAGGTGGAGGAGGGGAGGGAGGGGGAGCTGTGGTTGGCATGTTAAAGTGAAGAAGCAAATTAAAACAAAAGAACGATCAGGGATAAAAACTACTCACTTCCCTTACTTCTCTATACAGCCACCTACCTACAAAACTCTGCTTCTTGAGGGCACACTACATCTATGGGAGGAGGGAGACAGGAAGGAATGAGCTAGCTCTTGTCTGCTACATAAACTTAAGAGCAGGCTTTCTGCTGGAGGCTGAGGAAGTGAGTGGACTCTATTAGGACATTTCATGGTGTTAAGAGGAAGTCAGTGCTTTGTGTGAAACAGAAAGCTTCATGCTGGCGGTAACAAAACTCTCATTTTTATGTTAGACAGCACACCAACTTATTTATTTAGTTTACAGTTTAGCAGCTCACAGTGGCACATGCCTACAATCTCAGCTATTTGAAGCTAGGATAGGACGACTGCTTGAGCCCAGGAATTTAAGACCGTTCTGTGCAACAATGAGACTCTGTCTCTTTAAGAAAGGCCTGGCAGTCTCTACTTAATCAACAAGCTCCAGGCTCAGTGAGACCCTGTATCAAGAAAAATAAAGTGGACATGGACAGAAGGCGACACAGAATGCTGACCTCTGGATCACATGCAACATGTACACACACATGCATGTGTGTGCATATGCATATACACACACCTGCTCAAATATACACACTCCTGCTCAACTCTGACAAACTGAAGATTTTCCAGTCCTGCAGTGTCAAATATTCAGCCAAGATTAGATTCTTTATGTAGAAATAAACACATCCATCTTCTTAGTGCAAATTCACCTTCCCTTTAGTAAATAGTAAATATTTATATGTAAGAATAGCTTTAAGAATAAATTGTGATGTGCTACTGGTAAATATTTGACTTGTGTACCTATTTTACAAACCCAGGTTCATTAAAAAAAAAAAAAAAAATCTCAGGTGAAAAGGATCAGAAGCCAAAAATGTTTAAGAAACCCTGCTCCAGAAAGCACAGGGACCACCATTTTTCTTGTCCCCAGACAAGGTACCATGGGTGAAATTTCTTAGTTGAGCATTAAAACCATAAGGACAACAATGTGGGAAACTCTTAAGGAGCCACTAGACAATTAATATATCTTAACATCTCTCTTGGCTGTTTGTCCTACAGATACGACGGGAAAGGGTTATAGACATTAAAATGACTTGGCCTGGAGAGCTGCTATTGAAGAAGAATAGAGTTCAGGTCCAGCACACGTCAGGTAGCTCACAACTGTCTGTAACTCCAGCACCAAAGGATCCAATACCCCTTTCTGCCTTCCACTGGCGTGTGTGTGTGTGTGTGTGTGTGTGTGTGTGTGTGTGTGTGTGCACCGCCCCCCACCACGCGTGCGGAAAGAAATTTTAGTATTTTACATCAAAAGAGAAATATAAAGATTCTACGATGGTAATTTAGGATAGATGTGGCTACAGTACAGTATGTAAAATGTATACAATATAATTAGTAAAAAAAATCAACATGCAACATTCTCTCTATATTAACATGTCTTATGTATGAAACAGGAAATAAAAAGCAATGAATAAAAGTTAAACTTAGAAAGTGCCTTGTTATACACAGCATGCAAAGACACACATTAAACCTACAGTTTACTTCAAGAATTGGGATAGTAAACAGTAAGTATCAGTACTAAAGTAGCTTTAAGACAGCTCAGTTCCCTGACAGAAGAAACTAAGACTATTATGTAGCTACTCCCATGTGGCGCTCACTTATAGGAACTCATGTCTCAGTCTCTTCCCAGCTTTCCCTTTAGGAGACAGAGGTAAGGTAATAATCATATATAACACAGAGTATACACATAACAGACCTAGAAAAGGTAAACATTTAAAAACCTCAAGGACAAAGGTGGAGCTTTTATGGCCTCAGGTAAAGGAATGTAACTTGCTACCTAAACACACTAACATCAGATTGACGGCAGTTAGTGCAGTCTGATGCCGGCACTGTTCCGCTTCTTCCTGTTAGTTACCTGCTCCCTGCGCTCTCGCCGTGTGAAGTCCTCAGTACGTACCGTTTCCGGAATCTGCAGAAAGCTCCTTTAATATCTAACCTCTGAGGTGGGCACTATTATGTCTAATTAACACAAGAAAAACTGTGTAACGGATTCAGGGTTACACAGCGCTCAGGAAAAGAAGGCAGAACACAAACAATCACACGTCGTTCTTGCAGGCTTAATGCCAACCTACACTCCCTGCACTACACTGGAAGCAACTGTGCCTATTGAGGCCACTAGGTGGCAGGGCGAAATATAGTACTGGGGAGCAAGAGCGAAAATACTGGTCAGGAAAAACAAAAAATCAAAACCCGGAGAGCCCCACACACATTTTAATAAAAAGGAATGGATGTCGGGCTCTGGTGAAATCTGAAGTGCCATCCAAAGTCCAACAGGCGGCTCTGTATCGCTATTACCAGGAGTGTGTTTTGTCATCTCCAATAGGAGAGTCTAGGCAAAAATACGGTACACATTATGTGTGGCAAATGAAGGCTAAAGAAATGAGCTTCGGAGCTGGAGACAGCTCAGTGGGTAAGGGCTCTTGCTGTGCAAGCAGAGGGGCCTGAATTAGAACCCACAGCACCCACATAAAAAGCTAGACATGACCGTACACCCAGAACCCCACGGCTGGGAGGCTGGAGACACGAAGGTCCTGTCTGGGA